TCTGTGCTGTTGCAATCTTGAGTATGCTGTTCAGGTGTGTATCTGTAAGCTGCAAACCGATGATGACGCAGCAGCAGCAGAACTGGAAGAAGAAGCAGAAGACAGCCAGTTCCACTGCGGGCCTCATAGAAGCCCTCCGGGGGCCTGATCCAGCCCCTGGCTGCATGTTTGACACCCCTGATTTAGACCATAGGCTTTTATATGAAAAAACCATACACTGAGTTACCTTCTGATCTGCTATCTATTATGTGGTTTTTATTTGTCATTTGCAGGAACACGGCATACTACCAACACATCCCAGCTATACAGAATGGCTACATATCTGAGGATATATTTTTAGGTCTGAGTAATCTTTTCTTCTCTCGTCTTCTTTTCAATTTGGTGATGCCATAAATTAATGATATAAGGTGATGATTCTGATAAGGATTTTCGATTGTACTAGTTGTACTCACTATCAATGTTTTAGTTGCATACATTATTGTAATTGTATCCGAACTCATGGCAATATTTGATTAATAGGTTTAACTATCTGTATGGATTGGTATATATGTAAGCTGAAATTCTGTCTTTCAATAAACATTATTAAAAAATTTTGCAGACCATCTTGACTTTGCTATAGCAAATAAAGGTAATCTATTAACATTTCAGTAAATACATCTGCCATATACAAATTCTTTGACTGCAGATCAAGGGCGCAGTGCAGCTAAATGAACATTATGTTTGGTCCCATTATTTAATTTCAGCGGGAGAGATTTACGTCTTCAGTCAGTAACAAGATACAATGTGGAATTTACCATGATATGGAAAAAGTTGTTTTTTTAAAAAAATAACTGGTGTCAGTGGCAAAGTTGAAAATTTAGACAAGGAACTGCTCCGAAGAGAGTGGAAGCAATTGATGAATGCAGGCAAAGAAAAGGTACACTAAGCTCTTCCTACCGATATGTAGAGATAAACAACATAAGCTGCTATAAGGAAAGTCGACAGAGAAGAGGCCTTTTGGCTGCAGATAGGGGTTCGTCAGTGGCAGCTCTAAATTTTGTTTGAGAAATTCACTCCAGCTGAAGCTTGATTTTACTTAGCAGTGATCTGGGCAAGGAAATTGCCAGAGGTGGGACGCTTTCCTCCTGGATGAAATCATGCGCCTGGATTTGGCTGGCTTGCAGTAACATGGAGTTCTGCCATTCCATTTCCTCATGTCCTCCTGCTGTGAATACACTTCTGTAGTTTGTCCACCCCCCCCTTCATATTTATAACCTTCCAGTACCACAGGTATCCTTGCTTTCAAAAAATGCATCTCTGGGGGCAGTGTGTTTGTGTGTGGGGGGGGAGGTAGAGAGCATAGAACGTACCATGACACCAGTTGGATTCACTTTTTTTTTTAATGCACAGAAAGGAATCAGGGAAAGAATGATTTCACTATACTGCCTCACCTGCAGGCTCAAAAGTCTACTCCAACTGTATTCTCTTCGGTTATGAACTGATAGCCTTCGCTGTTTAACACAAGCGTGAAGGAATCCATAAAAGGAAAGTGTCAATCCTTTTTGCCAAAATTCCACCTGCACCCAAGCAAAGTTCACCTCTTCCTTGTTCTTGCAGGCTCGCTTCTGTCTGAGGTGGTAAAGGGCTCCCAACACAATACCAAGATTATTACCATGAGGTCCTTGCTCTGAACCCTCTTCTATTTCAAAGCAGCCGTATTGTAGAGATTACTTTGGCAGACAATCACCCAGAGAGCTTCTGTTCCAAGAACTTCATGTAACCCCTCAATGAGCGTTCTGATTTTTGTTGAACAGCAGCCCTCCTCCTGCCCAAGGCTTGCCACAAACTGCTTTTGAAACTCCCTTGCACTTTAAAATGCAGTCCAACGAACTACTGTTTGGAAGCAACCCTCCCCCCCATATGGACATATGGCATTAGTCACATAGGATCATGGCACAGACAGTTATCTGCTAAAAATAAACCTAGAAGATGGGAGGATGGGTAAACAAGGGGTAAAAGGATGCAAGGAGTGACAGCAACAACGCTATTGGGGTAATGAATTGTGTATCTCAACATCATATCTATTCTAGGCCAGAAGGTTGATGGAAGTGGGTTGTAGGGGCCATGCTACTCCAGTCTTCTTCCATCTACACTGGCTCCCAGTTTTCTTCCAGGCTCAGTTTGAGGTGCTGGTCTATATGGCTTGGGGTCCACCATACCTGATGGACCGCCTTCTACTCATCCACTCCAGTCATCTCCAGAGGCCCTGGTTTGGGTGTCCCTGCCCCCTGAGGCTAAACAGGGAGCAACCTGAGAAAGGGCCTTCTTGGTCGTGTCACCAAAAATTTGGAACTCCCTCCCCAGGAAAATTCATCTGTCTCCCTCGATTGTTATCTTCTGCCAGCAGGTAAAGACTTTTTGGGGTTTTTGGCATACGCCCAGTAACTCTTATTGGCCTTCCTTCCTGGTTGTGCTGTTATGTGTGTTTGTATGTTTATATATATATATATAGGAATTGTTTAAACATTTTGCTGCTTAATTTAATTTTTTTTTTTTTATGCTCACCACCTTGGGAACCCCGTTTGGATGGAAAGGCAGAATAGAAATGTTTTAAATAAGTAATAATAGCTAAAGAATAATTTTGTGTGCATTATATTACTTTTGCTTATTGATACAGAGGTGTATGAACCTTCTCCATAGTTGCCAATAGGCCCGGCAGCTCATGGAGAGACAGAAAGATGGAGACATTTTTTAAGAATGTAGAAATGTATTTTAAATCCTGAATCAATGGATCTTCTCCATGTTCACAGTACTTTCACCCACCTTTAGCCAAGCAAAACTCCCAAACCAGGAGTCCAGGACTATTCTCTCGCAATATGTTGGAATCCCACTGTCTTTTATTTGACAAAAGCATTGATGATAGACTGACACCTAGTGTTCATCTTATGCAATTGCAATAGTTCAAAAGGGGTACGCTGGTCAGTCAGAAAAACAGCAGGTGGGATTCAGCATGAAATAGAAGAAAGAGGGACAGAAACAGAAGTAAAGCACATTCTCGTGGATGCATGTTAATATTATGTCTAAATTTATGTAATCTGTATTGCTGGCTCTGGTAAGAACATAAGAGACGCCAATGTTGGATCAGGCCAAAGGCCCATCCAGTCCAACACTCTGTGTCACACAGTGGCCAGAAATACCAGGTGCCATCAGGAGGTCCAGCAGTGGGGCCAGGACATTAGAAGCCCTCCCACTGTTGCCCCCCCCCCAAGCACCAAGATGACAGAGCATCACTTGCCCCAGAGCCCCTAGCTATACCTTGTGGCTAATAGCCACTGATGGACCTCCGCTCCATATGCTTATACAATGGGGGGGATTCACTTATACAAAGAATTTATTAGGAGCAAGCAAAAAGTCAGCTGGTTTTAGAGGTGGCCAGGCTGTATCATTAAATAAAGGGAAGATTTTAATGGATAAACCCCTGCTTATTTTAAAAGGAAGGGGGCTTCTAGTTTAATAAAAAATATACCTGTAACCTCACACTCAATATTTTACAAAAAAAATTATCTGCTGTTGGATACCTATTTTCCTCCTAATGTTTAAATTATGTATTTATAACATTGATACTTTTTATACTAATAATTCTTTATATTGAATATGGTGGGTCAGATCTAAGGTTGGCTTCTGTCAGCATAAAGTGGGGATATTTGGCAATATCCTCTTTTTATTGTGGACTCCCATTTTTGCCCCCTCCTGGTATGAGGATCCCCTGTCCCCCCAGAGCAGCATTTCAGGGAAGGCTAAAGTGGGAGGGAGGAGCCGGGGAACTCCATTCCACTGACAAAAGTGCCTTCCATTAGCAGAAACCAACCTTTCAATCCAACCCAATGCGTTTAAATTGTTTTTACAGGAATTGTATTTGTACTGATAGGAATCGTCTTAGAAACCATTAGCTAAGATACACATAGTGATATTTCCCATGGAGACATAAAACACAAGTGATACTGTAAACCTGCTCATTCCTACAATCAGGCTTTTTAGTCTACAGAGCAAAATAATCCACAGAAAGGACAAGGAACCATCACATTTCTACCTTTCCCCTCAGACAAGAGGAACTATATGTGAATGTCTCTTTGAGTTCATCTCGAGCCCTTCAGTGGACTTTGAAAGGTATCAGTCTACCAGGATCTCGTGCTCTTTATAACCATGACCTGATTTTTCACCTTGTGACGTTTCTCATGTCAACATAAAACATGTGATATCGTAAATTCGTCCTTAGTTTACTGCTGTAGTATCTGTGGTAACATGTACGGATTCGGTATTGTTATACTACATTTTAAATGTTGAACGTGATTTTAAAAGTTGTGAGGAATCTCAGGCACAATCTACATCTTATATACATACATTCTCAGTATTTATTGTTGAAACACTCAGGCTGCGGTCACATGCACCAGTTGAGGCGGAGGGGAAGTGAGGCTATTTCCTCCAGAGGAATTTGACATGGAGTTGCCAGATCACACACATGTAGCTGTGTCACTGTGTGATCAGACACAACTGAAGGTGACTAGGGTTTTTTTTGCCATTTGTTTCCCATGCACATAAATGAGGAATCGCACCTCCACACTGAGGGCCCCCTATAGAGTATGCGATGATGCACATACTCTGGGGGGGGGGGAACGGCGCTGGGATGGAATGATCGAACCATCCTGATGGCCTGAGTGCGTGCTTGCATGATCAGACAGAGGAAAGTCCGTCCATGGCCTGCCGGAACCCATAAGAGCTGGACTTTCCCCGTTGTCTTTTAACTCTGCTTCTGTGGTGGAGCAGCATGGATTGCCAGTGACTGCGGGACGCTTTCCTGATGTTGCTCTCTGATCATGCCCTTTAGATCCATCAGGCATTTGCATCTATGTCGGATCTAAAGGCGCGTGTGATTGCAGCCTCTTGTTGCTCGTTTAAGACCCAGAAACCTTACTGAAACAGGATTTTCCCCTTCCTTAAGAAAATACTGTGTGGATACTTACCAATCTGTGTGTGCATCATCAATTACTAAGAGGATTTGGGGTTTCTGCTGGACAACAGGAGTGGGGCTTGCTGTCGGCTCAGTCGGTCCTGCCGCTGCTTGCGTGGTCTGCTTCATGGCACTGGAGATGGAGCTGAAGATGCTGGTACCAGAAGAAAGAGGAGGAGGTGGCTGCAAGGGCTGCTGCCTCCTCTCTGTTGCTGGGGAAACGGGATTGCTGGTGGAATTATCAGGACGCTGAAGGTCCATCATGTAACCATTTGGCAAGTTGGCCACAAAACTACTGTCTGAGAAGCGCCTTCGCAAGAAATTCATGGTGATAGCTTTCCCAAAAACCAAAATAAGTCAAAATACTGGAATAACAAAGTCTAAAAACTTGCTGGTTAGTTGGATGAGGTGCTCTGTCAACTGAAATTGTTCTGCAGGGAGGACGCTCCTTGGTTTTCCTATATAATTATTTTGTAGGCTAGACCTGTAAAATACAATAATACATTTGTTAGGCCTTTATAGAGCACCCATCAGAAGAATGAGTGTGCTTTCGCATTTCTTGCTTATGTGGAAGTAAAAACTCATCCCAAGCTAGAATTTCAAAACATTAGTAAAGGTAAACGTTCCCTTGCTCAAAAGCCAGTCGAATCCGATTCTAGGATTCCGGTGCTCATCTCCGTTTCATCTCCGAAGAGCCAGCGCTGTCCAAAGATGTTTCCGTGGTCATGTGGCCGGCATGACTAAACACCAAGGTGCACGGAACGCTATTACCTTCCCACCGAAGCGGTACCTATTTATCTACTTTCAATTTCTTGCTTTCGAACTGCTAGGTTGGCAGGAGCTGGAACTAGAGACGGGAGCTCACTCCGTCATGCGGCAACTCGGGTCTCGAAGTGCTGAACTACCGACCTTCCACAGCCTGCAGTTCAGCGTCTTAACCACTTGAGCCACCGCAGCGCCTTCAAAACATTACAAACCCATTAAAATGTTAGCTTTTTTCAGACATTACGTCCATGCATACCAGGAGCTCAACAACAGTGTTATTGGAAGCATTCCCTCCAGTGATGCTCCAGTGATGCTCCTGATATGCAAGGTCATGTCTGAATAGGGGTACAATTTGTATTTTGCATGCATCTACAGCTTCAGTATTTGTGAACCAGAGCTAGGGCTGCTAGGTTGCCCATTTTGGAGGGTATTCTATTCAGCTGCCCTGAGCCTGCTTTGGCGGGGAGGGTGGGATACAAATTGAAATAAATAAATAATAAATAAATTAATAAATAAATATTTGGAGGGTATCCCTTTGCCCCCTGCGGCTGCCACTGCTCAAATGAGCCTTAGGAATGAAAAGGAAGGGGAAAATAGCATCATGCAACACCATGATTTCTTTTCCAATTGAAAACCCAGAAGCGGCATCACCATGTCATGCAATGGCAAGGAATTTACCAGATCCCTCTAGTTTTTATCACAGAGCCCTGATACATTCCTAGAGAATCAGGCAACATAGTAACATCCCTTTCAGGTTTTCAACCAGAAATGACATTGAGGCCGTATGGAACAGTGTTCATGCCAGCCCCCCGCCCCCCAATATCTATGAACCCTGGAAAATCCAGTGACCAAGTTGCATGTACATGCATGCAAAATATGCAAATAGCTCTGTTCAGGCAATGTGGTGACTGCACGTATTGGGAGGGTTTCTGCATGGTTGTTGGCCTATTAGAATGTGTAGGTGTTTCATCTGAAAAGAGCTTTTGTGAAGAGAGGGTAGTAAGATGAGTGTGTTTGCAATGACCATTTTGTCCTTTATCATACTGCCTTCAGGCTCTATGACTGCCAAGCTCAGCTCTGCCCTAAAGTTATATATTGAACCCTGTCCAGTACTTGGCAATGCCTCTGTTTTTATAGTCCCGAATAATCAGAATCAACTCACAGTGGGCTTCTCTTTGGACGTCTGAACTGTGTCTGATGAATCAGCTCACACAAAGGCATGCCCCAAAGACTTCACCTTTCCCAGCCCATTACAATTCTAGGATATCTGTTCAACGTAAATAATGTTCTGCAGGAATGAAAGGCAGCCAATTTACCAATTTGTTGGCAGCCCTTAAAATAGAACTGTCACTGTTATAAGTAAGCATTACAACGTAAACCCCCCCCCACACACACACACTGAGATAATGAAATTTTCATTTATATCTCAGAACCTCACAATGTATATTATTTGTTGTGGGAGGATCAACCAAATAGCTCCTCTCCTCTCCTGATTGCAGCAGCATCATGTCATGGTAACACAGTGACTTAGAAAGCCCTTTTATAACGCCTCCTTATCAGCAAAGCTACAGGCAGCTCAGTTGAAGCCTGTGATGCTGGGTAAATAAATCCAGTTCTAATCCTTGGAAATTACAGAGGTCATCTCCGTCTTTGAAGATTGCCTAAGTAACACATCACTTATTCCCCGTTCCCCTACAATATGGTCCTTCCAGAGTAAGATGTACTTTGTATGTTTGATGCAAACGCCTCTGCCATCATTCAGATGAATGCTCTTATATTTTATGCTGAAGGCACCTCCCTCCCAGCGCCATCAAAGATTCAAAGTGAGGGTGGAGGCAGCACTGCAAATTTGGAGAGGTATTGAAATAGGAACACTGCTGATTTACTGAATAATGCCACAAAAAGAATCTAGTACTCTCAACGCCCCCCCTTGATCATTTACATATCCTCGCCCTTCCTCAAACCCTTTCCTCTCTAGCGTAGGTTTCATTATGGATGACGTAATCTGCATTTGCAATCATTCAAGTACCCTGCAAAACTCATGCAATGCCTGATTTCAAAGTAGCCGGAGTCGGCATAGTCTCTTGATTGGCATGAACAGAACAGGGCTATCCTCTGCAGAGAGAGCGAAAGATGAGTTTGAAGTGCACTGATCTGAATAAAATCAAGACGTTTGATGTGCTTAATACGCAGGGCCTGCCAAATTGCATTAAGGATCAACTCCAATATAAAATACCTATGGGAATTGCAAGCATATTATTGGTGCTTTCACTATAAAGAAGAGACACACCTTCCCAATATTTGATAGCTGCCCTTCTCTGATGGATATGAAACATAATTTGCTCACATCATCTGAAGCTTCTCTATGGATTATTTAGCTTTCAGAACAGATCTGTCTTTTCAAAGGCAGGGCCAGATTGAATTGTTTCCTTGCTGTTGAGCTAGAATGGCACATCTGCAAAAGACAGTCCAGATCTGTATCCTAAAGTAGGATAACCAGGACAGGGAAGAATATGTGTTTAGATCATAAGGAGCCTTCTGTTTTGGGGTGAAACTGAATATTCTAACTATGTGAATTCTAACAATAATCTAATTATCAACCATGCAACTATATATCAAAGAATCAAATCAGGTACTAAATATTAATCGAAATACTTTGAATATGAAGTTTCCTTATGCTAAGTCACACCAATGGGCTATCTACAGTTTTAAAAATACCTACAAAATCCATAGGTAACAGGTGCCATCTCAGAAAAGCTATTCCCCCCCCCTTTTTTCCCATGGGAGCCAGTTTGGTGTAGTGGTTAAGTGCACAGACTCTAATTTGGGAGAACCGGGTTTGATTCCCCGCTCCTCCACTTGTACCTGGCTGGATGACCTTGGGCAAACCATAGTTCTGATAAGATTCTTGAAAAAGAGCAGTTTCTGTCAAGAGCTCTCTCAGCCCCACCTACCTCACAGGGTGTCTGTTGTGGGGAGGGGAAGGGAAAGGAGTTTATAAGCCACTCTGAGACACCTTTGGGTAGTGAAGGGCAGGGTATAAATCCAATCTCTTCTCTTCTTCTATATGAGGTAATGCCTCTTCTAAGAGAATGCCTGTTGTGACACATGCATAGTCTAAAACCAAAGAGAGAATGCCCCAAAATATTGTTTTTTTCATATGCAGATGTATACAGATGGATCTGATTAATTCTCATATAACTGACTGAGTATAAATGAAATAAGAAATATAGCTGAAGATGGAGAATAAATATAAAAAGTAGGTTGGTGGGAAAAAGAGAAGAAAACAGGGAAAGCTGAGGATATAGAGGCTGCCAGGAGGAGAGAAATGGTGTTGGGAGGAGGATATGGGGGAAAGTTAGATACTCTCTGCAATTCCTTGCAGTTTCCCACTGTGTGACTGGGCCCAGTCTGGTTGGCACCATGCAACTTGGTGCAGCCAGCATCTGTGCATCTGTGCCAGACTTTACCCAGGGGAGAGGTTTTTATAGGGGAGGGAAGGAGGGAAAGCTGAAGATGGGGGGGGACACACACAGATAAAGGTAGGTTGGCTGGTGGATGGGAAGGAGAAAAGGAATCAGTGAAAGGGGAGGCTATGGGGGCTTTCAGGAAAGGGAAAGCGGTAGTATTTGGGGAAGGGAAAATGAGGTGCCCCCTGCAAGTCCTTGCGGGCCCGCACTTGTAATTCAGTAATAAGTCTTTCCCATCTCAATTTTTACAGTTTAAAAAGCCCAGTGAAAAGTATTTGACAATTATCCCACACTAATGTTAAAACGTGCAATTCTACTAAAGCTTATCAAGACATCAAGAGATGGTCTGTAGTGACCCCAGGATTCATTTGGGAGGGAGTGGGAAATTACAGTGGAATTTACAAGGGTGATGCTGCCTTTCTCAGTGCCTAACCACATGTTAGCGCAAGTCTTCTATCTGCATTGTTTTTCCTGACCTAAAATGGTTGCAGGGAGCACCTGTTTGCCCATTGGGGAAACTTGCATGTAGCCCAAATGTAGCAAATGTCCCCATACACCTGAGAATTAAATTTCAACATGCAACTCCCAGAATAATTCTGTTCTGATAGGGCCCAGAGTAGACATGGAGCAGACCCAGAAATGGTGTAATATACTTGGACCCTCCCTTTCCTCAAAGCTCACCTCTTCCATCCAGCCTTTGGCACAGCCCCCTTTCTTACTGAAAGTAAACTGAAGCAACTATAATGTGAACAAACACTTTTACTGCAACTCTGCCTCTGCTTTTCTGGCTCTTCATCCACACCTCCAGAAGCGAGGCAAGAAGCACACTGATGCCATGTATGCTGCCGGTGCCCTCATTTCCACTAGCAGAATGACTACTTAATTTGTAAATAATTAATGGCAGACAATGAAGACTAATTGTTTTGTAAAATGCAAATATTCATAATTGTAGGCTGGAAAGGGCAATTATCTCCTTTCCCCCCTTAAAAAAAGCTAAGAAAGAGAAGGAAAAAAATGTTAGTGCTGTGGGCAAAGAATTTTTTAATTGTCTTTCAGTTGTTGATCCCTGCATGTTTTGCATGCCGCTTTGTC